GGAGGAGACATGGTGAATAAAGGCTCTCACTTCTGATCAATCGCTCCTCGCCGATTTTAGCATTTCGGTTTCATACGAGAAACCTCATTGGCTATGCAAGCTTTCTCGTTAGTTCTGGTTTTCCATTCAAAATGTTCGGGGTTGGGGGGGGGGGAGGTCAGGGACGATCAGGGATGATTGGGGAGGATCTCTGAAGACCATCATCCCAAAGCAGGGGTGAACCACGGTGCACCAAAGGACAGGGCATCGTTTGTCTCTTACCACAACCCTGATGCTGCTCTCCTTTCAGATGGACGTGAGCACTTAACATTAGTGTCTTTTGACCCTGAATTGGACACATTGGCTGTAAGACTCTCCCACCTCTAGAAATGTCAGAGTTTTGGGGACAAAAACTCTGTTAAAGCTGCTTTTGTGTATCAAGGCCACCTGGCTGGAGGGGGGGGGGGCTCCAGCAGGCTCAACCTTCTGATGCCAACATTTCCGGGTCGCTGTGGCTCCTCTCCTTTGGTTACAGAAATTCTGTGCAGTTTTCCCTGCTGGTTGTAAAACCAGATAGCATGGAGGGGCAGCCTCGGGGCCAGTGACCTCCTCCAGCGGCGTTCGGAGAGGGGAGTTGGTGCTGTTTCATCGTGAGACTCGGAGCAGAGTGTCACGTGCGCCCATGGGCCGACATCGGCTGAAGATGTCTGACTTCTTGCAGACAGTTGCGTAGCTGTTTTGGGGCTCATTCCAGTGTGAGTAAGAGGGCTCGTGGTTCAACGTGGCACTCCTGAGAAATCGTACCGGGGCGATTTGTCCTTTTAAGACAAAATTGTCGACACTATGAACAAGCATTGCGATTGACTTTTCTCTTGTGATTTTTTTAACCCTTTCCACAGTTTCTGATTATTGTTTAAAATAAATATTTTTTTTCTCAGTACAGGCTTTCCACCAAGAGTATCTGAGATGCCATCTTGGATACATGTGGAACCCTTTGGGTAGTGTGTTGGGTTCCTGGTTAAGCAAAATCATTTATGTCTTTGGTACTCATATATTGTAGCATGAAGGGAAAGTAGCAGTTCTCTCTCTCTGTTTTTATTTCCCCAAAGTATTTCATTTGAACACCTGAAGAAGTGTCCAGGCTGTGGGGAGAGGGGGTGGATTTGCAGTGTTTGAAAGTCGTAGCAGATAGAGTCTCTAATGCGAGTGTGCCCGTGGGTAACGGGTGTGTGTGTGGATTGGAGTTGGAGTTGAGACTGAGATGACTTGTCAGAACAAGAGGCACATGGTCAAGGAAGATTTGAGGTCAGGTGGCCGTATGCATTTGATCTTCCTTCCTTGTGTAAGAGCCTGTACACTGAAGACCCCCCCCCCCCCCCCCCCCGCCCCATATGCATGTGACCAACACCCACACCTCGTTACTGACCGCTTAGAGGTTTCTTGGTCAGTCACTTCACCACAGACAAAAGTGGGGGTTGGGTCCTGAAAATGCACGAATTCTTGTATGTCAGCCCCCCCCCTCCCCCCTCAGACACCAGTAGCCATGATGCGGCCATGGGGCCTGAGCTGACCTGAGCGTGTCCCGGTCGCTGTGATGGGAAGCTGTCCTGTGTTCGTTTGGTGGCGTGGAGGGCTGTGGCTGTTAAGCATGGGGGCCAAGTGTAGACATGTTCTTACTGGGGGGGGGGCGGTAATTGGGGCTGGAGGTTACCTCCCCCGACTGTCCAAGCATGAGGCCGCCCAATCATGTTTTCCCCTGTTTTACTATGAAAATGAAGTGAGGAGAATTGAAGCTGCATGAAGTGTCCGGTTGTAAATGACGTATCTCCTTCCACACGCATCACCCTAGATTAGGCCGCTTCATCTGCCAAGGGGCGATTTCACCACTGGGGTTTTAGTCGTTCGTTCGGTTTTATTTCATTAATCTTTAAAAATCAGAATCTCCCAGTTTACCACTTTTAAGTGCCGCCTGGGCTAAAATTAGATGAGTTAGTGCTGTATTGACAGTTGATCCATGACAAGTCACACTTTTTTTTTTTTTTTTTTTTAAACTGGGTGAACTGTACTGCCGACCAACCTGGACATGAGCAATAAAGAAAGTCTTCAAAAAGATTCATTTGTGTGACCTGCTTAGTTTTTCCTTGCTGGTGTGATTTTCATCCATCATTTCCTAAAACCACTTATCCTATTTCACAGTCACCAGGGTCCAGAGCCGATCCCAGAGAAGACGGGCGCAAGGCAGGGAACAACCCCGGCTGGGGCACCAACCCAAAGCAGGGCACACTCTCACACCTATGGGCAATTGGGTAACATCAATTAACCTCCGCATGTTTTTGGACGGGGGGGGGGGCACACAGGGTCATAGCAGAGACTCGAACCCTGGTCCCAGAGGTGTGAGGCCACAGTACTAACCACACCACCATGCCTCTTGTTTCTGTATTAAAAAAATTTGGAATTTCTTTCCCTGATTTTCCCCACATGAATTTTGAATCAGGTTCTCTCCTTAATTATAATACACAAAGTAAACGGCACAGTTTGAGCCAGAATAACGTGGGTTGGGGGTGGGGTGTGTGGTCACTAAGTATGTTACCCGCCACCCCTCGGTTCAGGCCTGGTGGATGATGGAGAAACACTCTTCTTTGATTAGTCACGAGTGCGGCGCTGCCCTCAAACGCAGCCGCTGAGAGGGGCCGTGATCATGTGACCGTGATCATGTGACCCAGCTCAGTGGCAGCTGTGACAACGCTAAAGTGTAAATAAGTGTTTCACCTGGTGATAGGGGTGTCTGACCAGGTGACATTCATAATGTAACAGTGTATTTTAGGTGGAGTTGGTTAAAGTAAGTACTATTCTCCTTTATATTGATTTCACAGTTTTGGTTAGTTCAAAAAAAGCAAGAAAATGCACCCAAACTGTTTCATTTTTAATCTTTCTGGAAAAAAAAGAACCATTCTCAGCCAAAAACAATCCCAGTAAGACAGCTTGAACAGCAAAAGGCCTGTCTGATGATTCACGTTGGACAAACTGCTAAATGATAACTCCCCACAAAAGGGCCAGTTTACAAGCGAATGGCACCTGTGTCGCTGCTTAAATAACCAATAAACCGCTCCAGCCCACAATTTACCCAGAATTACGTCCAGAGTTACGAGTGACACAGGAAGACTAATGATCAGTGTTCCTGGCCAGAAGCTGACGAAGACGCATTTGGGGGCGAAGGTGTGTGAGAAGCGGCCTCGTTACCCCACAGTCCTTCTGCTCCACGTTGCTATTAGCAAACACCTGTGGCCTCCATCAGCGCTTATGAGAAGTGGATAGGGAATAGGTAACAAGAGCCCCCTCCATAGAGCCCCCACCACTCAGGGCTACATGAATTGTAATGAACACCCATGTGTGATAAATCTCTCTGTGATAAATCTGAAGATCAGGCTCCTTCCCATCCGTCCACACAAGAAGACCTCTGCAGCGAGCGGGGGCACCCTCACGGGATGCCGTCGCATCTGAGCCAGTGATCTGAACACGCCGGCAGTTCTGCACCCTGATTGGATAGTTCATTGGTTCCGGAATGCGGACCAGTAAGCGTGTGATGGGATGTGGTGCCAGGAGGCGGCCTGGTCCAGAAATGCAGCTGGATGGGATGTGGTGCTGGGAGACGGCCTGGTCCAGAAATGTAGCTGGAAGCATTCCAGGTGCTGCAGGTCCAAGTTTGGCCCAGTTTGCCACTGGCAGCAGAGCAGGCATGGGCTCAAGTACTGCAGCTGGTCACATGGTACCAGAACCATTACCATAGTTTGACTGACGGACAGCACCACCAACCCACAGAGGGTGGGGCGGGCAGGAGGCCACATCCTCTGACCAGCAATAAACCTCCAATCCACTCAAACAAAAGGCTTTTATTTATAATGATGGAATATTGCCTGTCTTTGGGGGGGGGGTGGCTGGAGAAGCCAGGAAGATTATTAAGGCACTTCATCACTGGCCTTCAGAACAATCCGGAAAACATGGGCCGCTACTGGAAAGTCATGGGGAACCACAGCAAATATCCAACACAGGAAGTGTCCAGATATAGGAAATTCCTCAAACCCCTGTACAGCACAAGCAAACACACACGACAAGTCGACACACATGGTCTTACACACTGGTCCTGAACCTAGCTGTGCAAAGGCCAGCAGACTGAAAACTACAGACATGGGACCTGTTGAGGTTTGCTCTCGACATCCTCACATACTTTCTAAAAAAGCAGTATTGCAGGCCTTAAACTGGGGGCCAAACGTTGACCATGTGAGGGATTTAACACCAAACACAAAAATGCTCTTTAAAAAAACGATGGATTCTGACAGCGCTTTCAGTAGACAGGAAGTGACTGGGAATCTGGACTGAATCTGGATTTAGACTGTGTAACTGACCCCCCCCCCCAAAAACTGCATGCACGCACACACGCACACACACACACACACACACACACACACACGGTTCATCCCCGTCATGCACAGTGACTCTCCTTTGGTATACAACAGCTCTAGTGCATCTTTGCTCAGTGAAGCTGTGAGAAGCAGGACCTTAATCAAGCACGACATGTACCAAATCCACCAAGGGTATAACAGCATGTCCCCCGCTGGGACTTAATGCCTCAGGCCCATTCCAGCCTTGCAGTCACCACAGCTCTTCTTAATCCCTCATCTCCATGGTCCCCCAGGGACACCACCCTCCCCCTCCTGAGAATGGGATGCAGCCAGCACCCCCATCAAGAATACCTCCCCCCCTACTGACCAATAAAAAGATGATAAAATTAACAAGTCAGGACAAAAACACAAATCCACTCCCTCGCAGCTGTTCGTGAAATGCCAGCAGTCTGCATGCACATACATCTTTGGGCCCGACTGTTCCGGGAGGGATGCAAACCGTAGCCGGCCAGTGCCATGCGCGACCGCTGGAAACACGCCGGTCACTCGCTCTTCTGGCGGGTGCCCGTGCCGTTGCGTTCAAGGCCCTCGAGTGCCAGGCGGCGGGGGCCCCAGCGGCGGAGCAGGGCGCCCGGGAGCAGAGCCACACAGGCCAGAGCGAGCAGCTGCAGCGCCGTGGTCCAGGTGAAGATGTGGTCCAGAGAGGAGATCTCGGAGAGGATAGAACCTGTGCGTACACAGATGAAGTTGTAGGGGAGAAGACCTGTGGGGGGCAGGAGGGGGTATAAGTTGAGGGACTCTACACAGGACCAAAAGGCTGCTTTAGAGCATATGGATAAGTCATCAAGTCATTGCAGTGCATACACTGCCCTCTGCTGGCTGGAGGGCATAGCAAACCAGATCCAGAAGAAAACTGGGATTGATCTCTGACCAAAGACATCAATATTCATCAAAACACATTAAAAATCAAAACATAGCACCAGGGGGCTGTATCAGGAAGCAGGATTTCTTGCTTAACTGGATAACTTGACAGATTTACGGTACCCCAGTTTAAATGGACTTTATCTTTGTTCACTTAGCCCAGACTACACTACCAAACGTTTTTCCACACACTGAGATTTTCTACATTTGCTCACTTGGCATTTACTAAAAATACACTCAATATTCTTTGCTAAAAATTAATTTGCAGTATGTTTACCATTTGAGTATCTTTATTAGCAAGAAAATGTCATACCTTTGATTTATCAAAGTAATCTGTTATAACAGCAGAGAAAATTCAAGGCATTCTTTTGGGGACATTAAATACTGCTCTATTTCATGGGATGAAACAAGATGACTCTGCCATCACCACACAACCAGTTAATAGGATGTCAGACATGCAGTTACATAACCTTTCCATGTTACAAAGGACACTTGTTTTATTTGACTTATCTTTTCATTTAAAGTTGTTTTCTCAACTTTCCAATGCTTAACAAGAAAAAAAATCTGCAGTTTCTGAAATAAACGGAAAAGTGATAAAAACTTGCGGTGTTCACAAATGTTTGACCAGTTGTGTACCTTAAATCTGACGAGTTATCCGACTAAGCAAGTAATCCTGCTCCGTCATAGAGGTTCCAGCAAAGGGCGAATGTGCTTGGGGTTCATTAGGGTGAGAAGGAGACAAATCGGGGAAAGGCTCCTGTGACCCGTCTGTGTCGTCATGCTACACTCACCAATGAAGATGGAGAGAATGAACAAGCCAATAGGAATGTTGAGGACCGGGATGCTACACTCACCGATGAAGACGGAGAGAATGAACAAGCCAATAGGAATGTTGAGGACCGGGGATGCCATATTGAGGAACCAATTGGGAGTCATGGGGAAAAACCTTAGGAAAAGCAGGAAAAAGAGCAAGCTGCTCCGGTTCTCCTCCACCTCGAAACAGAAACGACGTATTTACATCATGAATTATAATTCCATTTAAAAAAAAAAAACCTTAAAATATATTTTACACCTGTTCCATTTACAGGGACTTTTCTATCTTCAGTTCATTCAGATAGACACCTCACCCAGGGGTTCATTATCCTAAGCCCTACAACGTCATTCATAAATATTTCACAGAAAAGAATTAAGGATACATGAGACACTAAGCTGCTGCAATACTGCCGCCCAGTGGGCAAACCTGGTACAGCAGTTCCAAGTCCAAACAACTATTAAACTGAAAACGGAAAGGTACATAAACACACTGCACCCAGCAGACACTGAGAGCACTGTGCTCTGACCAACCTTGGCCTGCAGTAGGGCCACCTTGTCCGGGAACAGCCGTACGACGTGACGCCTCCCAAAGACACGGGACAGGAGGAAGCAGAGTGCGGAGCCGAAGGTGGTGAGCACACACGCCAGGAGGAGGCCCTCCCATGGTCCGAACAGAGCCCCCGCCAGGATATTCTGGGGGCAGCATGGTTACCATGACGACGGATGCTCCTGAGCACTCACACCAATCACACTAAAGCAATGACCCTCTGCGGTTTACACACATTTCAAATGTAGTATATTCTAAACAACTGCCGCTCGATTAAAAAATATATATAAAGACACTCCCTGGGTTACGATGCTCCATGTTACGATAGATAAATGCTTTTTCACTTTTAGTACATTATTCAATAAATTACACAAAATATTCAACAGCTTTATTAGAAAATAGGCTTTGTGTTAATGCTTTTCCCCAATTGTAGGATAATGTAAGTGTTCCAAGCATGTTTAAGGTCGGCTAGGCTAGGCTATGATGTTAGGTTAGGTTAGGTGTCCTGTATTATAATGCATTTTCACCTTATGACAGGTTTATCGGAACCTAACCCCATCGTAACCTGGGGAGATGCTGTATATGCATATAACAGCACATCTAAGTGATTTGTGTTAATTTTTGTGCAATGTTTTTTTTATACCTGAGGATATGTGGTGCTACTTTAAAATCAACATTTCATACTCAGGTTAATTGAGAACGCACCGCAGAGCACATCGTGATGTTTCTGTACATCAGTCTGACGGTTCACAGTTAAAACGTAATAAGACCACAGTGGAATCTTTATCTCCTGGCGACGCAGGCTGTGTATTTATATCAGGATGGGCACACACCCCTAGATACTGGAGGAAAACGAAGTCTGAGGTTTAGAAACATTTTGTGCTCCTTAGCCAGTAGGCCGCCTGCTGGGCACTCCAGGGGGTGCGGGGCACCACAGACACTCACCAGGAAGGAGGAGCCGGGGATGGCGAAGGCCTGCTTGTAGAGGTAGGCGCTGCAGAAGAGCAGCCACACATAGCCGGCGTGCTCCGTCCGGTAGAACCGTAGGAGGCCTGCCTGCACCCGCAGCTCATCCAAGTCTGAGGGGAACCGCAGGCTGTGGGAATGCGGGGTGGGGCAGGGTCGGGGAGGGGGAGCGAGGCCGGCGTTAGTCACTATGCAACAGTGTTAAATTGCATAAAAGGTGTAGGGATGTAAGTTGCTAAGCAACAAAAGAAATTTCTAGTCATATAATTGGTGTCAAAGTACAGATGGAAAGCTGGCATTAAGATGGGTATATTTCTGCTTTGCACAGCTGCAGCAGATTCAAAATAAATGTGTAAAAAGCCACAAGAAAAATATTTAATTCTTATGTTCTTAATGATTTTGAATCACTTTCTCAAAAAGATTTTAGGTGATGCTGCTGCTTAATATGTGTGAGAATAATTATTGTAAGAAATTACAAGCTGAATTTATGGTTTTAACCTGATTAGATTCAGTCTCCCCATTAAAAGCAGACAGACGGGAGCGATGTTCCTAAACCTGGCAGGGCAGGCGAGTACGATTATGGGATCTCACTCTATGTGATTCTACTCCTGTCCAGCAGATGGCAGGCTAACTTCAGGGCTGCTTCACGGTTAACATGGAGCGTCAATCACAGCACAGTTTAATCCCGGGGAGGGAACTAGGGAATTTGGTGGAAAGAATGTCAAAGCCAGGTAGTGAGAGATGGCAAATTGTCACGGTCAATTCAACCAGGGAAAAAAATAAATAAAATAAATCGGTACAGTTGAGTTTCTCCTGGATCCAGGCTGCAATTTGGAAATTCCAGACACCCAGAGTTTCAACAACAGCAGTGACTAAACTATACATGACTTCAGTCAATCAACACAACCCCTACCCATGCTGTGTCCTACAGAGTGTCCTTCTCCCTCACCTACAAAGCAGAGCGACAGAGCACCCCGCGCCCCCGAGATGGTCAGTGAGGTCCATCACAATATAATCCTTCAGGATAACTCCAACAATCTAATTTCCCGAAACTGTTCCTCGTATGCACAGTAAACCCAACCCAAAAAAGCAACAAGCTTGCAACGTTTTCATTTGGGCAGTTTGAACAGACACCCGTCGCCGAGGTGGCCCACTTGAGCTTGGTTTGGGGATGACAGGAAGAAGGGCATGCTGGGAAGTAACCGCACCACTTCCTCATTAGCAGGACGGAACCCTAATACCCAGTAGCAGGGATAAGGCTACAAAGCTTCAGCCTCTCCCCACGAGGCTGAATTGCTCCATGTGGTCTGACACGCAGAAGCTAAGCAAGCAAAGCACACGGATCTAGACCATAACCCTTAAGCTAGTAAATAAATATTACAGAACCATAACTTTCATTTAGCTTGAATTTTACTGCTTTATTACAGAGGAATCCAAGGCGTGGAGAGGTTTTCCAAAAGCCCTCAGAGGGAAAAACGTATTTCATTTGGTGGCATTTTTATTCAGCATGGATTTTTTTTTTTTTGTGTCGAGACAGCAGTGAAATTGACAGTCACTCTGCGCCTTAGTCAGGCTCACAGGAACAACAAAGGCTGTGTGTGCGAGAGAGAGAGAGAGAGAGAGAGGAGAGAGAGGAGAGAGAGAGAGAGAGAGAGCCATACACCACAGCTCCTTAGCTGGGCTCCGGATTTTCTGCTCTCTTGCTGGAGAAGATGTCGACTCGCGGCTCCTCGTTAAACTGTAATCCGATAAACGTCACATTCTAAAAAGCCCAGCTCTCGGGCCGGCGATGACGACACCAGGGAAAACACTCCCGTTCAGTCATAAAAGTAAATACTCCAGGAGGCCCTGCAAAAGGCCAGGCTAACCTGTCTCCTGAAAAGTGCCACTTAACAGGAAACTGCAGAGAAAATAAAATAAAAAAAAAAAACAAGTGCTATGCATTCAGGTGAAACCTAAAGTGTGTCACACATACACAGACCCAATGCAACATAAACATCAGGCGTTCGATTCCAGTAGAGCTGCGTTTCCTGACCTCCATGTTTGGTGCCCTGCTCCTGGGGACCTCGCACCAGTGCCGATCCTGCAATCCATCCCTCCGAAATGATAACAAGAGGCCACACAACCACGAGGCAGGAAAATTGTACACTGATCTGCTACACTTTCTGCAATATGACAAGATCCGTGATGGGGAATATAATCGTGTCTATATAAATTATTTCTTGGAAGCCTCCCCGCGTCTGTAAACAGAGAGCATTTGGCTGCAGCCCCAGAACATCTCAAAGTATCCCTTCGCTGCTTCCTGCTATACTAAGCATATATTTCTTCTTTTGGCACTGGTGGGGGACTGACTTACAAAAGGAAATGTATATTATATAGCTCCCTCCCCATCATAGCTGCCCCAAAACAAAAGAATGGCATCATAAACACACATAACTGTTATGCAGGAAACATGCAGGCTGTCAACCATGCTGGCTGTCATAACTAAACCTTAACAGGATATATGTTTGCAAAAACAAGAAAGTCAGACATTACTTTGTTTTACTGTGCAAGCTCACTGTCAAATGTTTATTGTTGCAATGCCAATCCTTGGAGCATGCTATATATGTTGCACTACTAGATCGAAAATCACAGACAGAAGCAAACAATGGGAGCTGAGAAAGAAGACGGAACCTGAAGCTGCACCGAAATATTTTATTGTACAGTATGTCGCATATCTGCTAGATGCTAGATCACAACTGTAGCTATCCCTCATATATACATTACCATATGCATAGTGCATTAACTAGTTAGATATCGACAGTGGGTCGTTACACGGCTGATGATGCTGCCCACTCTCCTGCATCTGTTTCACTAAGCGACACACCCAATTCGTCCTACTATGTCTGCTTTCAGGCCTCAGTGTATATTATTTACTACGGATGTCGGACGTAAATGCAATAGGATGTTATGCAATAGCACGCAAGTCGACGGGCACCTGTATGTGTGTGTGTGTTATATACACACATCAGACGACCCAGCACCCAAAAAGCCTTACTATAATGGGTCTGACCCCAACAGAGACATCTGGCAGCCATGACCATCTGGGCATAGGTACAGATCTCCAAATTAATGAGCTGCACACCGCCCACGGAAAATAAATCATAGAAATTAATATACACTATATGGACAAAATTATTGGGACGTGCATAAAGACATTTTGGACAACTGTATGCTTCCAACTTTGTAGAAAGAGTTTGGGGAAGGCCCTTTCTGTTCCAGCATGACTGCGCCCCAGTGCACAAAGCAAGGTCCATAATTACATAGTAGGGTGAGTTTGGTGTGGAAGAACTTGACTGGCCTGCACAGAGCCCAGATCTCAACCCCATCAAACATCTTTGGAAGAACTATAATGGAGATTCCAAGCAAGGCCTTTAGGTCCAGTATCAGTGCCTGACCTCATAAATGCTTTTCTGGATGAATGGGCAAATATTCCCCACAGACACACTCCAAAATCTTGTGGGAAGCCTCCCCAGAAGAGTGGCAGCTGTTATAGCTGCAAAGGGGGACCAACTCCATACTGATGCCTACGGATTTAGGATCGGATGTCATAGAAGTTCCTGTAGGTGTAATGGCCAAGTGTCCCAATATGTTTGTCCATATAGTGTATCATTAAGGACAGTTATTAAGGGCAGTGGTGGCTTGATGGTTAGGGTAGCGCACTTGTAATTGAAAGATTGCAGGTTCAAATCCCCAAACAGCAAGTCACCACTGAGGTACCCTGAGCAAGGTACCGTCCCCAAGCACTGCTCCCCGGGTGCTGAATTAGCTGCCCCCTGCTATGTCACGAAAGTCACATATGGGTCAAATGCAGAGGACACATTTCGTTGTTGCGCACTGTGTGCTGTGGTGTGTTGACAATGACCACTGATCACTAAATTCTAATTCTATTTGTTTGCATTTGGGGTAGATTCAAATACCAGAAAGAGAGAGAGAGAAATAAAATATCTGCATACAATTCACACTTAATACACCAAGTGCCAATCAGAAACATGTGGAACGCCCTTATGTGGAACACTCTGGCAGGAGATAACCGCACTGCCACATCACTATGAACCTTGACCTGTCCCAAAGGGCAGCTGGCTGAATTCACTCAGGGAAGGAGTTGGCAACAATCTACCATTTTAAAATAAAAGCAACGCTAAGATACGAAAGCAAACATCAGGATGGATTCATTAGGGCAAAGTTTGCGTCTGCATTTAATGACGGCCCCACACAAAAACAGATAAGCTCAACTCATATTTAAATACTTTCTAGATAATTTTAATTAGAAATGTGTAAGAAAAAAGTTTAAAACAATCATTAACTAGATTAATATTCTGACTAAACGTCTTGAGTCATATCAGATCGATTGTAAAATAACACCATACTGCCTCCTGTCGATATTAGGAGGACAGTAATGCTTTAAGCTGGCGCCTGTTAGGGTCATCGGCGAAAACGCCACTCCAATGGATGACGTCTTAAGGATGCTCTTCCCAAACCACGCTCTCCTAGAGCACACTCCCCAGAGCACCGCCCCTTAGCTCACGCTCTTCACAAGCCACGCCCATTCGCCATTCTTCCGTTTCCTTCTCACAGCCGGAGGTCTTAAGTACTGTGACACGTACCTTAACAAAAAATGTACCAACGCACATGGTACATTAGCCAATAAGGACGCGACTAGTATTTGCTTAATGTTTTTGGGCAACAATATCAGTTTCATAAAATTACTTAGTAAAAAAAATATGAACTACACATATTTACGTAATACCAAGTTGACCAATGCATCTACAATACATTATACACGCAGGTATATACATAGTTACACACTCAGTTTGAAATAATCTAACTATACACCAAATAGAAGCTAGTCAGGTGGGATTCGTCACTCAGAAATTCATATATAATTGCCTGTATCTACCTGTATTCTTCGGGTTCTACGTCTTTCTCCGTTTGCCCGGGCACTTCTGCCTCATTTGCCCCTGGAAGGTGTCTTGGTGCCGGTGGAAGAAACTTAGACAGGAGATAAAGATAAAAAGTAGCCGCCGCGACCACAGCAACTAAACCAAAAACGGAGCGCATGGTCCCCGTTCCCAAATGCAAACGGGGGGCTGGCGCCCGGTGGCCAAAACACTGTCGTTATTTCGTTGGTGTGCGGGCGGAACTAATGTAACAAGGACGCAGAGCGAGCGGACAGAAATAAGTGCTGGACTGAAACCGGCCAACTGGTTTCACGCCAAGCGCATCTGCAGTATCTCCTTCTAATAATGTTACGCTTAAGTTTGTAAGGTTTATATTTTATCGTTTGCATTCATTTTTGGGAGGGGCTAATAGGGAGTTTGTTAATGCTTTACAGATATAAACAGTATTTGTACATTTATACCGGCAAAACATTTTATTTGTTTTAGAAACTGGATTAAATTTTCCGGATTGAAATACGATAAGACCATATTGATCACACACCGGTGAAATTTACTTGCTACAACAGTTTGAAGATAAAGAGAAATACAGCAGTGGGAGAAAAACAAATCAGAAGATATTATACAACAGCTAGTAAAAAAAATCTCAGGAGCCAGACATTTAGAAACTAAAGTAATGCATCAGATACTAAATTACATTTCATGTTTATTTCACTATACGTTATCATAATGTGGCAGAATTGTTTCTGTCATGGTTATGCCATTATCCTTTAAGAAACTTGGCTTTTTTAAGGGACGGCATACTAGTCACAGGATGCACGCACGTTGCGGGCAATTTTGTGACGCCAGCTAATCTACTGCATGTCTTTGGACTGTGAGAGCAAATCGGAGTACCAGAAGGTTCTATACACGGGGTTGCCAACTCACGCGTTCAGACTGTCACTCTCACGAAAGAAATCTTAGGACAAATCTATATTATTCCATTATAAACATAAAACTAGCTACATCAAAAGTATTGGGGTAGTTTGCAAACCCTACAGACTATTTATAAGGTAATATAACTCAAACATACATGAAATGTGTGTGCAGACTTCTCTCGAATTGAAAATCTCACGCCAGCCAGCTGACTTAAGTTGACAACCCTGCATACATGTCATCTTAATTGCAGTGAAAACGGGGAATTGGGTGGCGGAAACTCGCACATTTCGGTGAAAACTAAGTCACCAAAAGACTCCTTATGTGCACATCAATTACTTTTGTTATTATTACTACTACTATAAAATAACGCGTTCAGGTAAACAGACTCGCTGACACACCTTACAAAACGCGTAACTTTCGACTAGTTTTGATTTCTCGATACGGCAAGATCCCAGCAATGACAGAAAACCATGAATCTTACGGGTAAAACGTGAGACTTCACGCGCATGTTTCCTGATTGCAAATGCCATTGGTGGTTAGTACTTTAAAAAAAAGTTTAATTTCCACATCTTACCACCAGGGGTCCGCATTGCATCACTTGAAACAAATACGTATCTGGCAAGTAAAATAAAAATAATAAAAAAAAACGACCTGCACATTAAAGACTTCTCGGTATACACATACACATACATAATGCTTTTGTGGTTGTTTTAACAATTATTTAAAAATAAATTGAACAGTATATATTGGGGGGGGGTTTACGTGACATATATTATACATGATCTTGCTAAAAATGAATAGTCCTTCCCTCCCTAACCTGAACAATTAGTATGAGCGATGGTGGTTAAACTGAGCGTCACGTGTAAGATGATTGAGAAAATCGTTGTGGTGGTCAAGTCACAAGAAGTAGGGTAGGGGAGCGGATGGTAAGGGAATGAAGTAGTTATAGGTGAAGTAGATGGTGGAGAAATCAAGGATGCAGGAGAGCTGATGGCAGAGAGGGTATGGAGGGAGTGGAGCTGGTGGTGGAAGGGAGGATAAAGAGGAGAGAGAGGTGGGGGGAAGACAAGGAAAATGGTGGGGCTGAAGGTGGGGAAGTGAAGTAAGACGGCTCTGAGCTGGAAGCATGGGGAAAAAAGATGATAACGATAAGTGCTGCTTCCTGATTGACGGGGAGGCGTTGGTATGGAGAAGTGCAAGGCTGCCGTCAACATCATTCCTACTGTATCACTTTGAGTGCATTTAAAAGCATGAATAGGGACAGAGATGTTCTTACGTATGACGCAACTCCTCCTTTAGACTATAATCGCTGTAAGCGTTAGATTCCTTGAATCTGTGGTATATGGTACTGCGTGGTGAAGGGGCGGTATTAATTGGGCCATTCATATACCCAGCGGGATGTTGGGAGAATGAGGCAGCTTCCCGTCTGCTTTTATCTGACAGGAAGTGTTTGTGTTCTTGGTTTAGTCGTTCGTGTATAATAGGACTGATGCCTGACCTCACAGATAGAAGGGGATGCAAAATTATGGTTGCACCTTTGTTGCAGTCGACCTTTCCCCGAGCGCGCTCTGCACAGACCTCGAGTCCTCCCTTGAACCCGCAGACGGCATCTGCGCAGTGGACTCTGATCGTCCTGGAGATGCTCATTATCTCGGAGCATTTAAGGGCACAAGCTGTTCCCTCCTGGTTGTGGGTTTAATCTTTAATGAGGAAGAGTGCAGAGCGAGAGCGCACTTCATCATCAAAGATGGGGATTCATCAAGAGGCTGCCGCCAGCTCCCCGCAGAAGCCCGTGCTGCGGAGGGGGATGTGCCGCTACGGCTCAATTGGTCTTTCCGTTATTTCTCACTAACCAGGTGGTGTCCAGCGGTTGTTAAAGGAATGCACCATGTCTGGCCAGATTGGGAGAGTAGCTTAGCCTACAGCTTATGTGATCCCATACTATGCTCATGATTCCTGACCTTGCAGTGCATCTCTTTGGAAAATACACCCTCAAAGGCCCTCAAAGAAGAGTATGTTGACTTAGGATGGGATGCTGGTACTGAGGTACTGGGTGGTAGTGGGTGTATGATGCATACAAGCTGGAATACTCCTTTCTGCTCTTTCAACCACCTCCACCCTGAAATAATGAAATTTGAGATGTGTGGGATGGGAAAGGTGGGGACACATACAGCCCCACCCACGGTTCCTGTCCCTGTCCTTCATGTCACTCCCTGCTGAGCTCAACACACCAACGGATCTCATGGGACCCTCTCCGCACATTTAAGCAGCTGTGTCTCCGTCGTTACGGCAGACACAAAAATAAAAATAAACGGATGTACATTTCGTCAGTGGAAAAAGATTCTACCCAGGTACCGCCAGAATTATTTTCTTCTTGGGCTTCCAGGAGCCCTTACGTCAAACCCTACCACAGCGCTCACTGTCAACATCTTTATGTGTCAACGCTAATGCGCCTGTGGCATATTCCGAAGGGTGCACACCACATAGTCCGCTGTTAACGTGTAAGCTGTTACTTGACTGAAATAAAAAGGCAGCCAGTGTGCCAGTTTGCTACATGTTTACTTGTTGGCGCATCAACTAGAATGAAGACGTCTCAAATTCTTGGTAATACGATACAAATTAAGAGTGAAATCCCAGCTGTTCTTCACCAGCAGCTCTTGTTCTTCCATCATTAGCAGTTTAGCTGCTGATCTCAGGTGAAGGAAGGAGGGGAAACAAAACAGAGAGAGAGAGAGAGAGAGAGAGAGAGAGAGCACAAGCTACAATAAACAACGTGATACTCCTGAAGGCGGCTGCACCGTGGAATTCTGGGTGATGAAAGCGTTCACATGAGAGATAAGGGCTCATCGGCAGAGGTGACAACGAGGAGGGGGTGGTGGGGGAGATTTCTGGCTGGATAAAAAAACTAATGCACTCCGAGGGCTACATCCGAGCTGTGAGGAGCCGGAGAGATTTGCAGAAACCTCTCCCCCATTGCCGTGCCAGGCGTGGGGGGGGTGAGGGGGGGGGGTGTGTGGAGAGGTACGGACTACGCTGTGTTCATTTGTGCATCTCCTTTGTGTGGTTCATTTATGTTGTCGCTTGTCCCAGTTGTAGTCCACCACTAACACTGGACCACGTCCTTCACTGATGTTGGGAGATGGCTGCCTGTTCATCCTACGTGATAAACATGAAGTAATTGGTCTCCTGGGAGGATGGAGGACCTCCCCCTCCCCCCAAAGGATGTTGTTGTACAAAAATGGGTCTGCCCGAACATGACAAGTGGGAGTGTGTACCGAGCAAAGCAAAAGCCTGCATCCCCAAGGAGACAGGAAGTATATCCCCCTTTTATGGAGCTGCTTGATTGTAGCACATCTGATGGGTGCAGTGGCCTTATAGGAGAAAAAGAGCCTGTGACATGCTCTGATATGTCCTTGTCCACATGGCTGAAGTAGACCTGATGTCAAAAATGAGGCCAAGACTATAGCATCTTCCTATCAGGTCCTTATAGGTGAGGCACACAAACGCGTAGCCAGATACACATGTACATGCCTCCACACACACACACACACACACACGCACACACACACACACACACACACACACGCACAGCACGTTTGTCCCATCTAAGATTTATTTTCTCTTCCAGGGGCCACAATATCTGGAACACATGTGTCAGGTCCAGAACCATCCTTTCCGGGTTTACAGCACATCAGTCACTCTGGCTTTGGGAAATTAATGTGGCCGCTTGACGCCTTCGATCTAAATCTGGCTGACTCTGCTGGATGTCAGTGTATCTGAGAGAAGGCTGTAGCTCCTGGACATCGATAGGCTGAAGCCGACATGCTGCAGCAAGAGGTCGCGTGCACAGAATAATGCGGCAACATCACCGAAAAAACGTCCTTTGACGACGACGGCCCCTTAAGACTCATCTCCATGACCCAATTTTGTGTCCCCAAGGCTAAGCGATGGATCTAATTCCATAAGGCTGCAGCGGCCTGTCAGTGATGTCCCCCGTAATCTTGTCAGTGGCGGACAGCGAGTCAAATTAGGGACTTTAGAACAGGTTTACGGAGACATCTATCCAGTCATCCTTGTGTGTGACTCCAAGTTCTGCATAACCAAAACACCACAGCCCCAGTCCAATCAAGCCTGGGTTACCTCTTCTGTTATTCTGATTCCAGGGTCCTTGGAAGATATTTAATAGAAGGACCCACTGAATGTGCATAAAAACACAGCAGGTGAGAGACATCGGTTTCTGCTAACGCTGTTGTGCTTGTAAGAGAGTTCACCCAAAGTTCATCAGTGAAAATATCCCACTGCATGAAATTGGTTTTTGCGGCTTTAAGAGGCTATTAAGTCATAAAGGATGAAGTGCTGTA